CTAGCCTGTCCCAGGATCTTGGTGTTTTCCCAGTTGAAGTGGTGGTTCTCCTTGTCCATGTGGATTGAAATGCCTGAGTATTGGTCGTGTCTTTTTGTAGCCAAGATCCTGGGACAGGCTAGGCAGAGATAAGCACGAGAACTCCTGGAAGCATGGCACTCCACGAAGCATGCTATTAATAAACACATTGAACTCGACCCCATATACATTCCACTACGGAGGAAACCCGGAAGTGAGGCAATCCATCGCGACGGACCCCAGAGTTTAAAAACTAGGCAGGAAAACACACCGATGCTTCATCAGAGGCTGCACTGAAAAGGTTACCAAGCACAGTAAAGAAATGTCTGCGGAACAACAAACCAGCTCGGCGAGCCAACCAACCTCAAAAGGTTTCTTATCGATGTGTCCAGTTTTTTGTTGTCCTTGTCTTTGTGGTGGATCAGTTTGGTGAGTTTCTCCTGTAGCTTGTGTCTCTTCTTCGTTTTGGTTTTGTGTTGATTGATGGTGGTAGCCTGATCTAAGATTGTACTCCACTGCTGGTCCGTAGTGTTTAGAAACTGTGATTTTTGGTGCGAAGTTTCCCGTTTGTACCTGCGGAGTCAGTTATGGGCATCGTTAATCATTGCTCGTAGCATTCTGCGTCTGTTCTGTTCAGCTATTTTATATGCCTGTGGGTTGCTGAATGGAGGTTGTACTTCATGCTGCAGGGCAGTACCTGGTTCCTGAGGTATTCATGGAGAAAGTGAAGTTGTTCACGGGTAGAGCTCAGTCGGTTGGTGAAGGTTTCCAATTGTCGGGCAATTTTTAGTGTGTTACGCCCATAGGTGTTTAAAGTTTTGGCAAAGATCTGTGGCTCCGATCGTGGGTGAGGTTGTTGACTTGCTTGCCGAGCTGGCTTGTTCTCATTCAGATGTTTCGTCATCATGCTAGGTGGCATCATCAGTGAGGCCTCCGATGAAGCAGTGTTATTCTACTCCGCTTGGAATTTATACTGTCTGGTCTGTTATGGTGAGTGTGTCATTTCCAGTTTTGATCTGTAAGGGTTTGTATATGAGATCCAATTCTATATGTTTGTTGATTGCATTACGGGTGGAGAGCCATGCCTCTAGGAATCCCATGCGTGTCTATGTTTGGCTTGAGCTACCATGGTTCCTAAAGGGCACACACCAGACATCACCCTCTGACCCATTGTTTCCCTACCAGGCGCACCTTCACACAAACTGGCCAAGGACCTACAGCAGAGATTGAAACACCTAGACCACGGATCACCCCATTCCATCCACTGAGCCCAAGATTTCCTCAATACCCTCAAGAACATAAAAATCAGCGACAACGAGATTATGGTATCCTTTGACGTCACAGCTATATTCACATCAATCGATATCCCACAAGCCAAAGAAACAATGGCCACATTACTAGAGGAAGCAGCAACGCAGACCAGCAGCTCCATTAGCAATGGCAACATACTTAAACTACTAGACCTGTGCCTCACCATACACTTCATCTTTAATGGTCAAGTATACAAACAGATCAACAGTATACCAATGGGGTCCCCCATCTCAGGACTCATTGCAGAAGCAGTCATGCAAAGACTAGAACACACCACCCTGCCCCACATCCAAACTATGGATCTGGTACGGAGATTCTTCAGGCAGGATAGAGAGGGAGGTAAAAGGGGTGGAGGAGTTGCATTACTGGTCAAGGAGGATATCACAGCTGTGCTGAAGGAAGGCACTATGGAGGACTCGAGCAGTGAGGCAATATGTTGAGGTTGGTTGGCTCGGCGAGCTGGTTTGTTGTTCCGCAGACGTTTCGGTACCATGCCGGGTTACATCCTCAGTGCAGTGTCGGTGTGTTTTCCCGCCTGGTTTTTAAACTCTGGGGTCCGTAGCGATGGATTGCCTCACTGCCGGGTTTTCTCCGTAGTGGAATGTATATGGGGTCGAGTTCAATGTGTTTATTAATACACTGCTTCGTGGAGTGCCATGCTTCCAGGAATTCTTGTGTTTGTCTCTGCCTAGCCTGTCCCAGGATCTTGGTGTTGTCCCAGGATCTTGGTGTTGTCCCAGTCGAAGTCGTGGTTCTCCTTGTCCATGTGGATTGAGATGAGTGAGTATTGGTCATGTCTTTTTGTAGCCAGTTGGTGTTCACGTACTCTTGTTGTTAGTTTCCTTCCTGTTTGTCCGATGTAGTGTTTCTTGCAGATGACATTGGTCCTGTCTATGGCGGGGAGTGGGTCTTTAGTTCGGGTGAGCACTTGTCGTAGGGTTGATGTGGGTTTGTGTGCCACTCTGATGCCCAGCGGTCGTAGAAGTCTTGTGGTGAGTTCTGACGTGTTCCTTATGTAGGGTAGTGTGATGAGTGTGTCGGGGCGTGTAGAATCTTTCTGATGCTGTTCCTGTAGGCATCTCCTGATCCAGTTCTTTGGATATTCATTATCCTTGAACACTTGGAAGAGGTATTCCTCCTCCTCTTGGCGTAGTTCCGTGTTGCTGAAGTTGTTGCAACACACTGCAGCAATATGGAACTACGCCAAGAGGAGGAGGAATACCTCTTCCAAGTGTTCAAGGATAATGGATATCCAAAGAACTGGGTCAGGAGATGCCTACAGGAACAGCATCAGAAAGATTCTACACGCCCCGACACACTCATCACACTACCCTACAT